CTATCGCCCCTCTGCAGTTAGGGAAGCCCATTTGTGCCTAGCCATCCATAATGTCATGCATGTTGCCAAGAGTCATGGTTTTTCGGAACAGGATGCGATTAATGGCCCAGAACACTTCCATCAACATGAGTCCAATGGTCGACTTTCCCACTTCGAACTGGTTAGTGACAGATTGGTAGCAGTCTGGAGTAGCCTGCTTGCACAATGCAATCGCCACGCGCTTCTCCAGTGACAGGGCAGCTCTCATTCTCATGTTCTTGCACTGCAGAGATGGGGCAAGCACATCACACAGTCCCATGAATGTGGCTTTCCTCATGCGAAAGTTCTGCAGCCACTGCTCATCATCTCAGACGTGCATCATGATGTGATCCCACCACTCCGTGCTTGTTTCCCAAGCCCAAAAGCAGCGTTCCACTGTGGTCAGCACCTCCATGAGTGCCACAAGCAATCTCCTGTTGTAGCTACTACGTGTGGCGAGATCAATGTCACACTCCTCTTGCCTTTGTAGTTTCAGGAGTAACTCCACTGCCACTTGTGACGTGTTAGTCAGAGCGAGTAGGATATTGGTCAACAGTTCGGTGTCCATTCCTGCAGACTGCAGAGGCAGACTGTGCAGTACACAAACCATTGAAAGATGGCACCGAATGCAGATGGAAGCACAGGGATTGCTGGATGCATTGGGACAGGACCCAGGATGTCCCACGACCCCTTCTGTCTTCCCATAGCAGTCTGCCCTGGGGCTGGTTCTCACACTCTGGGGTAACTGCAGGATAACTTGATACTGATATTTTACAGTCCCATATGGCACCAGGGTTGTGGCTATTACAGCAGAACACTAACATTTCTTTAAGGGAGGCAAAAGGAGGCCTTTCATTTGGGTGACTGGACCCTTTATTAACTAATCCACTGCTAGGTAACGATCCCCACCTCTTTCAGCTGTGATCATAGGGGGGGCGGCACAGTCCTCTTGGGAGAGGACGGGGATTGCAATGGGCAGGGCAGCACCAGAATAGCCAGCTTGTGTATCCATTTCCAGCTGGGCCTGAAGCTCTTGCTGCTCCTACAGTTGCTGGAGAATAAGACTGGGAGATTTGATATAGTGTGATGGAAGGAAGCGTTGCTGATGCAGCTTCAAGTGTAATTTTGTTAGTGTGTCTCCCCCCCTTTAAATGTTTTGCTGACCTTGTTGCCCTCTGATAAGGCTGTCAAGGGCCTCAGAAAGACAGTTGTGACTGTCAGAAGGTCTTTCAGAGCCTGTTGTTTTCCTCCATTTTTACAGTGCTAGCCAGAGAGCCAGGACTCTTAAAACAACACACTGACAAATACGAGGGAGGCTTGGGAGCAGGCATTAGGGGATTGCAGATCTTGAGGATACATAGGAAAAGTCAGCCTAGATACGCAACAGTAGGTTGTCTCCTTATTATCCTTATCATCCTGACTGTTTTATGATTGATAATAGTTACAACAGCAATGGGTCCATGCTGCAAAATTCACATCCAGGGGCAGATTTCAACCATCTCAAAATTGAGAGATGTTCAGAGCTAGCCAGTTAGAGAAGAGCTGTTGTTGGATTCCAGTGCCAACACCTTCCTGCTCCCTTAAAACTCAGGAGCGTTTTGATCCAGGCTTTAGGTTTGGGTTTCCCTCTAAATAGATTATGCTTCTTCCCTAAAGGAGCCCCAGGCACTTTGTTATAGACTGAGCTGGTACCACTACCGACAGGTAAGGGTTCCCAATGCTTTCCATGATAAGATCCTCTTTTCAGTCGTTTTCAACTTGACCAAACTTCAACCATTCAGGCTGAAGTTTCCATGCTGGGTGTCTACCTGGAGCTAATTTTTTTCCTCGTTTTTATTTAACGTTTCAGCTAAAACAGTTCTCCCATTTCTGAGAAGAAGGCTAAGCCCATGTTAAAAAAAAATTCTTACATATGTGTTGTTGAGAGGCTGACACGCCTCCAAGCTGCTTCCCTTGGAATTCCAGTTGTCATCTGGTGTGGAGCATGCATCTCTAACTCGAGTGGTGCTCAAGGATATAGCAGAGACTAAAATCATGTTGCAATGTAAGTGAGAAACTAAAGCATTATCGTCATTAGAATAACATGACTGAGGCCAGGTCTGCACTACAGCCCTACATTGGTTCAACTACATCGCTCAAGGGTGTAAAAAACACCCCTGAGTGACATAGTTACATTGACCTAATCACCCCCGCCCCGTCGTGTAGACAGTGCTATGTCAATGGGAGAACTTCTCCATCCACAGCTCCCGCCTCTCAGGGAGGTGGATTAACTATGCTGCCAGGAAAAGCTCTCCCACCGGCATAGTAGTGTCTTCACCTGAGTGCTACTGGGGTGCGGTACGTGAAGACAAGCCCTTGTGGGCAGTCCCAGCAGAGAGCTCAAGGCCAGTGTGGCCTTTCGCTGCTAAAGGTTGATCTCTCAAGCTCAGGGCTGAGACCCATTGGCAGGGCAGTGTCTGGGAAGTTTCCCTCCTGCTGACAGTGAAGTATCCGACCTATGGATAAACAGGAGAACTTAAATTTCCAGAATTGTCTCTCCAGCCCTTCACCAGCAGGAAGTGCACAGGAAATCAGAAGAATATTTGACAGCACTTGCCATCCAGAATCACACCTCAACTTGGCCTAACCACACAGCTCTTTCTAGGACCAAGTGTATGCCTGGTGTAAATCTATTAACTCCAATGAATTTTACCCCAGGGAGGAATCAGTCCCATGTGCATCATTCCTACTGCATCCCCAGGTAGCCTGTGCACTTCCTGAAATATATCGCAAAACAGCAAACCTGGGGGGTAGAATTGACAGAGGCAACTGCCATGTATTCAGATGTACCCTGATTGCCACCTTCATCCCTGCAGGGATCAGTTATGGAGATATGGGCCCTTGCTCAGGGAATCAAGACCCATCAAATGCTGTAGCACTTTGTGACTCCAGACCTCAGTGTTGAGCTATCATAGATACTCGTGCCCTTCTGACTGGGCAGATCAGCAAAGCAGGCACCTCCAGTGATGCTGTATCTCAAGGATCTGTGCTGGCTCCTCTGCTAGTTAACATCTACATTAGCAATTTACGTGACACAATTTTGTAGAAATTCATTTATGTTGACAACATCAATCTTGCAGTACAGGGCAAAGATCTTACCACAAGTGATGACACCCTGGCCATCGACCTCAACATAATACTTTTAATACTGGACGCTCCACCTCAACACTTCCAAAATCTCGGTACTAGCCTTTCAAGTAAACAACAAAACCACAAAGGAACCACTCACTGTCATGTTTTGAGGTCAATGGGTCAGAAATGAGCCCTGTCCAAAGTACTTGGGTGTCACCTTGACCAGAAGCTTGGCTCCTAAAGCTTGTTTGGAAACAATATGTGAAAAGGTAAACAGCAAGGACTAGCCTCATCCGAAAACTTGCAGGCACAACATGCAGTGTTGGTGCACACACGCTTCGAATAGCGCCTCTGGCACTGGGTATCCTCAACCGCAGAATATTGTGCATGGGCAACTCACATACCAAGTCTTTGGACGTGCAGCTTAATGCTGCAATAAAAATTATAACTGGAACATTAAAATCAATGGTTGCCCACTCTAACACAGACACCCACACCCAAAATCCAGAGTACAATTGTGAATACAATCAAACCATGGCCAACTTGAACTTACCAATACATGAGGAGCTCCTGAACCTTCCGATGATACACCTGAACTTTTGCAAGCCTTTTGGCAATCAGGGTAAACTCTTTCGGCATCCCCATTCAATCCTAGGGCCACTGGAAAGTGTTTTCAGAGAATGCTGATGCCCCAAACACACACCTGCTGGCCGATCCCACAAAAAAACTTTCAGGCTTCAACCTACCCCAGAAACAATGGTCCACATTGAATTATTTCAGAAAATTGCATGGCAGATGCTGTCATCTCTTACACCTCTAGAAGATGAGAGATGATGCACAATGTGACTGTGGATGCCAGTCACAAACTATGAACCATATTGTAAATCAGTGCCCATTTCAATCATTTGCTGGCCAATCTCAGACTTACACCAAGCCACTTCTGAAGCTGTTTACTAATCTGGATTTGGTTCTGTGAACACTACTAATTACCTCCTTTACCATACGAAAGAAGAAGGGCTCAGTTCCAATCCTACGGTTGCTGGAAGCTCAGAGATAAATGGAGATGCTCAGAAAGATTCATCAGTCCGCTCTTCTCCCCACCAAGGCACCTCTGTGCTGAACTGTCTTTCACATACCTCCTCTACCAGCAGATATTGAGATGTCAGTTGCTCTGCTGGGCTGTTCAGGGTGCAGTGGTGGGAAGAGCCAGGTCCTAGGTGCAACTGCTCTGAGATATTTCTACCTGTCTAAGCAACCACCACCACGGCTCCCCTGGGCAGGGAGTGGATGGCAGGTTCACGGATCCTCAGCACTATTTCTTGTAACTCCTCAGGTCTAGCTTAGCATTTGAAACAAGCACATGGGGACACTCGGGTAGGGACTCCCATGACAGAGTCTTGCTCCTCAGATTGCTGGAGCAGTGAGAAGGCAGGGGACTGGCAGCATGTGTGTTAACAGTGTTGCTATAAACATGTGACACTGAGGGGACACATTTCTGTACTGCCTCTGAACACACCTGCCATTTTCTGGCCCAAATATGGGAATGGTGCAGAACATTTGGAACATCAGAACGGCCATACTGAGTCAGACCAAAGGTTCATATAGCCCAGTCTCCTGTATGTCACAGTGGCCAGTGCCCAGTGCTTCAGAGGGAATGAAGAGAACACGGAATCATCAAGTGATCCATCCCCTGTCGCCCATTCCATGGAATGACATGATCAATTTATTTTGTGTAATTAACAGGCAATTCAGGGGTTAAATCTATTCTGTTGGAGAAAAGTCAACTGGGCCCAGTAGTGTGTGTAACTCTTTTCTGCCCAGTACGCACCAGACATACACCAAGGAAAGAATTTCATACTTAAATATATGGATAAATGTATAACTTAAGGGCAGTTTAATAACTGACAGCACCATATATATCTATCAATTTAAAGCACTGGGTACAAAACAGGGAACTGGCAAGTTTGTTTGGCTACTGGCTTAGGAAGAGAGAGGTTTGTCAGGGCTTGTGTGTGTAAGTTCCCCACGTGGGATCAGACTGTCCGCTGCTGTTTGGCTTTGGTTTCTCTTGCCAGTGCATGCTGTGCCAGCCGCTTCTCTCCACCCAGTGAAGGCAGCAGTCCCATGGCTCCCTGGACGTGAGCTGGGGGGGAGCCAGCTTCCTGGTTCGCTATGGTCGGTTTCGTGTCCAGGTGCAACTCCACGATCTCCAGCTTTTCCAGGCTGTTGCTCCCAGTTCCAGGTAAGCTTTCTGGCGGGTCAATGAAGGAGATGACATCCCCAGTGCTAATGTCTAACGGCCTGGGCGTCGCAGTGCTCTGGGGGCCCACCAGACTGTGGGGCAGGGTGAACCGGTCACTGCCGGTGCTGTTTGTGGAGGCCAGGGCAGCGTTGGCCAGAAGAGTGTGCATGGAGGAGGTCACAGCTGGCTCCCTGGTTTCCAGGGCAGCGTCTGCTGGAGGTGTGGATTTGCCGTTTGTCACCTGACTCTCTTTCTGGGCAAACTCCTTCCGCAGGGCCGCCACCTGCATCTGCAGCAGTTCTCGGTGCTGCCACTCCATCTGCTCAACCTGAGTGCAAAGCAAACACTTTCAAATTAGGAGGCAAAGCCCACCACCCCCATAGGATACTGCAGTCCCTGCTGGAGTTGGCAGGAGCCATCACTGGCAGATTACATCATGATAAGGATCTTTTAGCAATATAATCCCTTTCATCCTGATAGAGGCCAAAGAGCTTTACAAACTATTTATAGGAGTGGTCCCCAAATTGTGGGGGGTGCCCCTTTAGGGGGTGTAGAGGAACAACCGGGGGGCACGGCAGGGCCAAAGCCAGCCCCTATGGGGGGATGGGGAAGGAACCATCCAGCCCCGCTCTGTCCCCAGCTCTGCTCCAGCCCTGGCCACAGCCGCAGCCCCAGTTCCACTCCCTGGCCACCGGCTCCTGGCCACGGCTCAGCCACCAGCCTCTGCTCCCAGCCACGGCTCAGCCGCTGGCCCAGCCACAACTCCACTCCCAGCCCAGGTGTGTGTGTGGGGCCGAGGCGTGGTCCCATTCCATTACTCGCAAGAGGGGGCGCAAGAGGAAAAGTTTGGGCGCCACTGGTTTATAAGAATCAATTCATCCATCACAGATATGCAGCCCCCTCTGGTATGGAACAGGACAGCTGTTTAACAGCCATAGCAATGCTGCACAAAAGCAGAACTGAAAGCCTCATCCAATTGAAACAGAAAGGGGAACATAGGGAGGTACTTTAGATTGTAATCACCCGAGTTGGAATTTGAGCAAGATTCTGCTTTAGGCATCTAACTCCTGCTGAAATCACCAAAATATCTTTTAGGATCTGGACCTGGGTTAACATTTCTACTATATGAAAAATGTCATGGGGCCTTCGGCAGCACACCGCTGGGCCCCAGGTTTAGTAGTGACTCAAAGAGAAGAGCATCATCTGCTGAGTCACTGCCATCTCTTCCTATAGCATCTACGTTTTCCTTAAACGCCTTCCAAGTACTGACCCCTCCAGCCTTAGCTTGGCATGTGACATCTCAGCCCTGGCCTCAGGTGTCAGGACTGGGGCATAGGCAGTCTGACCTAGTGGTTAGAGCGGGAGTAGGGGCCAGGCCAGGTCAGATAGGAGGAGGTCAGCATCTGAGGCAAGCCAGAGGGTAAAACCAGCAGTCACATGTCAGGAAGCAGGCTGGGTCAGGTGAGCAGGTATCTCAGAGGAAGCAGTCCTCAGCAGGGAGAACCCAGTTGTGTGGACAACTTCTGGTTCCTGTGCTTGGGTTGAAATAGAAGCTGGGGACCAATCAGGACCACCAGTGTTCCACCAATCAGATTCCAGGACGGGGGTTCTCTCTCAGAGTTCAGCTGCTATTCCCGCAGCTGTTAGCAGGTTACTGGGTGGCAGGTCAGGACTGCCTAGCCCCTAAGGGCATGTCTCCATGGCAATTAGACTGGCCCAGGGCTGACCCAGGTAAGCTGACTCAGGCTCATGGGGCTCCGGCTAGAGCCTGGGCTCTGGGATCCTCCCCACTCGCAGGGTCAGAGCCCAAACGTCTACACCACAGTTAAACAGCCCCTTAGCGCGAGCTGGAGTCATGTGACCAGGGCCAGCCACAGGTGTCTAACTGCAGTGTAGACACATCATAAGAGCCCTGTGGATTCAAGTCCCTGACTTCAGGTGCTGCAAAGCAAAGATGCAGCAGGCACCTTTCCCAGAAAGTTTGGCTTTGCCAAGCAGACATAGACCCTGAGACCTTTTAAAGGTCTAATACGTTAGGAACAAATGGCAGAAAGCGAATTTTCAAGCTGTGAGTATAGGGAGGAAGAGGAGAATCCCAACCAACCCCTTGAAAAATATATATTGTGGCAACACAGTTGACCTGGAAAGAGTCACACGCTGGCACAGCAGGGTGGTCACATGGTCATGGCTCCTTCTCTCCAGCCAATTCTAATGCATGTCCAGGCTCTTCACTGCATGGCAGAACCTGGAGGGCCCTAAAAGCAGCTGCAAATGAGAAAGGGGAGCTAGCCCTGCTGCTTGTGGTCACGGTTGGTGCTACATATGGGTGGAAAAGGAAAATCTTCAGAGCCTGGAGCTGCAAAAGAGAGGACGGTCCAAAAGTACAGGGGAAGAGGAGGATGAGGTGGACTGGCAGCAGATGCTGGGGAAGAGGAGGAGGATGTGCTCATGGGGTTCAGTGGGAGTTAAGTACGCTCCAGGAGGTGCTCAGTACCTAAATTACTAACATGAGTGCTCTGGGTTTTACACTAAATAGCTTTTAATCACTAATGCTGCTTGTTTCCTTAGTGGGACAGCAAAACCAGGCTGGGCAGTTTCACTTCCTGATTCAGATGCCCTGGCCCCATGACGCTGAGTTCTCTGACTACAATGGTGCTGCGCTGGTTTTAAATCTGGCACAGTGTTTATATTGTTTAACAGACAAACAATGCATGAAATTCTGTCTGTTCATGTTGTTTTGTGAAAGCATTTACACCCTACAACTGGCATGTTGGGCTCAAAACTACTTGGCACTGCCCCTTTATCAGCATGCCCCAGAGTTTACCCATGAAGCCAGAGTCAAATGGTAACAGCATAAGGTGATCATTCAAGCAGCGAAGGAGAAGGAGGAGAAGGAGACCTACCATCTTGCTGACTTTCTTCTCCAGGTCATCTGAGGTTTGGTACCGTTTCAGCTCCTCTGCCATGCGGACATTAGCTTGGACAATGCTGGCAATCTGAAAGAAAGAAAGAAAGAAAGAAAGAAAGAAAGAACCCGCATGGAGGCAGCATGAAAGAGGCACCCTTGAAAGTAAATAGGAGCTAGGGTCATATCTGGCCATGGCCAGTTCCTTCATGACAAAACACAAGCAAAGCAGGTCAAACCCAATGCAGCAGGCAGCTTGCTGGATACAGAAACTCTTTGTTCCCAACAGCACAAGGCACAAAAGCAACCGCTACTCTCCCCCACGTTCCCATTGCAGCACCCTCCTGCCCTGGACTGCGCGCTAAGCACAAGCTCCTGTTTTTCATGGAGCCCTAGGGGTCACCTAGACATCAGCGGCGCATACATCAGGTGGCTACAGTTACCCTCACTGTTCATGTCTGGGGACCTGGGTGCAGTCTTGACTCTGGTAAATGGATCTGAAGACCATCGCTTTGTCCCCACATCCCAAAACGCCACATCGTTTGATGGTGTTTGCTAGTCCATGTTCAGGAGAAACCCAGAACTGCAACAGCAGGGAGGGCTGCTGGTCAGGCCTGAGAGACAGTGGCAGAGTGACTGGAAAGGAAAAAAGCCTGAATAAAGTCTACCCTCTCTCTGCCTGGGCTGTAGCCACTGCTAACACCCCATCATCTCCATAAGGGTTATATATGCACCCAGCAAAAACAGTGGGTGAAATCCCAGCGGGACACAACTCCCGCTGATGTCAGCAGGGTCAGGAGTTCACTCAGTACGTTTCCAAAGCCTCTAAGCCAGACGCAAATCAGCACTGAGGCTAAAAGAACAGGAGGAGGTGTGGCACCTTAGAGACTAACAGATGTATTAGGGCATAAGCTGTCATGGGCTTCAGCTCACTTCATCGGCTGCCTAGAATGGAACACACAGTAAGAAGATATAGATATACATACAGAGAAGGTGGAAGTTGCCATACAAACTGTGAGAGGCTAATTAGTTAAGATGAGCTATTATCAGCAGGAGAAAAAAACTTTTGTAGTGATAATCACGATGGCCCATTTCGACAGTTGACAGGAAGGTGTGAGGATACCTAACATGGGGAAATAGATTCGATATGTGTGACGACATATTGAATGTGAGGCTAAGTCGGTCTCTCTTCATGTCGATAGCAGCAGACTGGGATGGATTACCCCAAGGGCTCTGAGTGCTTTAGCCAGGTGGGAGCTGACTCTGACTCCCAATGCCATTGGATTCTGATAGTGTCTGGAACTCCCATGTGTCTGCCCCCAAAGTTTCACTGCTGTGGGGACACTAGTTTGTGGGTGACCTGATATTGGGGGAGAAACAGGACACATCTGTGATCCTGCATGCTAGGTCTGATGCAGTCTCCTCTCTCCCTGCAAGCTCAGGAAGGAGCAAGCTGCCTCTGCTTCACATCCCACCTACCATGGGCTAAGCAGGGAGGCTTTTGGGGAGATAGAGGGAGGTAGAAAGTGACCCGGAGGACGATACAAGAGGAAAGGGGATGTACACAAGTAACTTCTTTAAATCTTCCATCTTCTTTCACATTCAGATGAGATCCTTTCACATTTGGGTCTGAAATGTTACTGGGCAAGAATGAAAGCATGCATTGAAATCAGTGGCATGGACAGGGCTTCTGTTCATCAGGGGTTATTAATTTCAGTTTTCGATTTTTGAGTTCTATGAAGATCTCTAAAAATCAGGAGGGTTCAGACTTTCTCTTTGCCTACACTGTCATGAGTAATGTATACACTGCAATGAGTAATCGCTTTGTAACGTTCCCTAGTACACTTTACAGTAGTAATGTTTCAACAGCATACCTTAAAGCACACTCAGGAACCTTCAGTGCACACAAGCAGGGTCTATGTGGACTAATTAATGCATAACACATTAATGCCCTTCAGAAATCACAACCTCAGAGAGCACGTTATTACTCCATGTAGACAAGTCCTTAGATACAAGTAACCATTTCCAGTGTTTTTCTGGTGGTTTATTGGATAAATGCCAATTTCAGTTTGCTGGTATTGGGGGTATTTTGTTGGTCTTTAGCAGTTAAAACCAAAAGTCAGAAGCCTGAGATATGGAAGAGGGTGAAGGACGAGCCACATTGCTTCCAGGTGCCCTTTTCTAGAGTAGTCTGGAGAACTCATGCACTGTGACTGCAGGACTCAGCAAGGCAGACTGGATGCTAAATTAACTGGATGTATTCTCCAGCAGCCTTGCTTTCTGCCCCCTTCCTCTACAAGGTTTCCAAAGCTGAGTTCCCCTCTCCTCTCCCCACCCCATGGCAGGAAATCAAAACCATTTGGGCTGAAGGACAAGCAGTCCCCAGTTACTGTTCTCTCAGCCTTGCTGGGCTGCAGATTTCCAAACCTGACGGGATGTCAGAGGCAGCCTCGCACGTCCAGAGTGGTGCGGTGGGAGCATATAGATTGCCATTCCATAGACCAGCCTGCATGGACCACCCAGAATGTTGCCCCCAGCTCACCCAAGCAGAAAGACCTGAAAAGATTGTCCTGGAGTCAGGTCTCCTCCATGAAAGCTCTGCCGAGCTGCTTCTCTCCCAAGAGCAGTTGTTGCTTCCCCAGAGAGATTTCACACCTGAAGAACTGCTGCCACAGCCCTTCAGGGTGCCTGTCATGGAGACCCTTCGCCCTGTATAAACTCTCAGGAGGCCCATCCAGCTGTGCTGCAGACCCTGGTGCATGCTCCGTGAGGCCACACTCCCACTCTGTACCTACCTGTTCCTTTAGCTGCAGGATCTCTGCCCGAAGCTTCTGTTCCATCTCCTTCTTCTCCTCCAGCAGCTGCTGGTTCTGCTGGTGTAGCTCAATCAGCTGTTTCTCCAGCAAGTTCTGATCCAGCCCCTCACAGGGCTGTGGGGAGAAGGAGAGGGAGAAAGAGGTCCCTTAAGTGTAGCAGTGAAAGGAGAGGGCAGGGGAACATGCAGTGGAGAATCCTGCTCTAGCACCAGATCCTCAAGTCTGACTTCCTGCTCCTGAAGTGGCATTCAGGGCCCACACTGATTGTTTTGGGTCCTGTCTATGGCAGGTGCCAAGTAAGCAGGTAGCTTGACTGGGTCTGGGAGAAAACAGAAAGGTGGGACTGGGCTAGTGTGGCCAAGCTAAGTTTTAGCAGAAATGTGAATTGGTCATTAACCCCAAGTGCTGCTACTGTGAAGGGATGAGAAAGGAGAAAATCAGAGGGCAACAAAGGGTCATGAAGGGGAGGCAAAACTCTGCTGTTGTGTCGTCTCAAAACCACTGTTGCACCACCAGACTAACGTGCAGTGGTCCCAAGCCAGGTCTAAGGCTTGCAAGCATCATGTGTAATACATTTAGACAATTGTATAAGGCACCTTCTCCCCACCTGGCCTTCAGCAGCAGACATAGGGGTGCTGCAGGGAAACAGAGCGCCCTCTAGTCAAGTCAAAGCCCTTTAATCTCAACATTTTGTCCTCCTTTTATTCTTAGCAAGTCTTGGCAAAACTCACACCCTCCCCGATCAGGGATTTATGTCCAGGCCAAGAAGGAAGCCATTTGAGTGGAATTATCTAAGCACTGAGAAGCAATCAGCATGAACTCCTGGCTGCTGAAACACTCCTTCTGACCCTCCGAAGAAAACCTTCCACAGAAATTTGGTACAGATGGATATTACACGTTTAAAATCCTTCCTTAACATTTCTTCTGGCCACAGTGTCCAGAGCACACCAATGGCCTTGACTGACAGAGGAGGAAGATGGGGAAAGGAAAAACCATCTACTATAGGTCAAAAAGGCTCCTCCCCCAGCCTTGCGGGAGGGACCACTGGATCTGGGATACAAATGAATTTGGGGGACAACTAAAGAATAACAGGGTCTGGAGTGAAGGTCACAGGTTCAGAACTAGGGATCCAGAGAGGGACACTGAGCAGAGAACCCCGGACAGCGCTCACTGCTCCTTGCAGCTGTCTAGGGAGCCAGCAGACACCGCCCATAGGAACTCTGCCCGGGTGCGTGAGACCAGGGAGGAACACAGTCGCAGAGCACCTACCTGTCCAGTATCCTCCTCCTAGTATTGCAGATGGCTACACCTCCCACACTGCAACTTGAGACCATTACTCCATTCCTCCTTGTTCTGTCATCTGCTATCACTGAGAACTGTCTCCAGCAAACAGCAGAGAGGCTAACAGAGGGAGTTTGACTGGGGTCTGTCAGAGAGGAGCTACGCTAAGTGCTGCATTGGAGGGCTGTTTGGGAGCTGGGGGGGGGTGAGTATCTGAGTGTCTGTTGCGGGGACAGTTTGTCAGTTTGACCATGAGCTTGATTGTTTGAAAAGTGTGAACTGGGAGTGCTTTGTTCCAGGTGGGCCTTGAGTGGGCCTGATTGTTATAAAAAGGCAGCCAGTTGCGAATCCGTGGAGCAGCGAACAGCGGAGAGGCTAACAGAGGGAGTTCGCCTGGGGAGAGCCCACTGAGGCTTTCATCTTACCAGCTTCTCTGAGTAGTAACTGCAACAGCTGAGGAAGCTCTTAGAAGGAAGGTAATATGGATGGTGAGCGATCAGCTGTTGTGACCTGCACTGGATGTGCCATGTTTGTCTTTCTTTCACAGGACAGAAGCGACTTTGTCTGTACAAAGTGCAAGCTGGTCTCTGCATTGGAAGAGAAAGTTCAATGCCTGGAGAAACAAATATCAACCCTGCGATGCATAAGAGAAACTGAAGATTTCCTGGACAGATATCAGGATATGTTTTTGCGGGCACAACATTCTGCAGAATCAGAGCAGGCTGCGCAGTGGGGACAGAAGGACAGTGAAGAAAATCGGCAGCATGTGACCTCCAGAAGAAGAAAGGGGAGCATCCTTGTACCAGCAATGCAGATACAGGTGAGCAACTGTTTTCATGTTCTCTCCACAGGTACTAATGCGAAGAGTGGACTAGATGATACATCTGAGGGAAGGTAATAGAAGGAGACTCCACCGATTGGAAGGCATGAGATGCACTGTCCCTGGGATGGGGTTCCATGACCACCACTCCAAGAAATGTGCTGCTTGCCAGGAGCTAGTATTCACGATGTGACGGACAGACTACCGAGACTCATCAAGCCCTCAGATCGCTACCCCTTCCTGCTTCTCCACGTGGGCACCAATGATACTGCCAAGAATGACCTTGAGCGGATCACTGTGGACTACGTGGCTCTGGGAAGAAGGATAAAAGAGTTTGAGGCACAAGTGGTGTTCTCATCCATCCTCCCTGTGGAAGGAAAAGGCCCAGGTAGAGACCGTCGAATCGTGGAAGTCAACGAATGGCTACGCAGGTGGTGTCAGAGAGAAGGCTTTGGATTCTTTGACCATGGGATGGTGTTCCAAGAAGGAGGAGTGCTAGGCAGAGATGGGCTCCACCTAACGAAGAGAGGGAAGAGCATCTTCGCAAGCAGGCTGGCTAACCTAGTGAGGAGGGCTTTAAACTAGGTTCACCGGGGGAAGGAGACCAAGGCCCTGAAGTAAGTGGGGAAATGGGATACCAGGAGGAAGCACAAGCAGGAGAGCGTAAGAAGGGAGGACTCCTGCCTCATACTGAGAAAGCGGGATGATCAGCAAGTTATCTTAAGAGCCTATACACCAGTGGTCCCCAAACTTTCTGTGGCCAAGAACACACTGATGCCTTCAGAAGAGTGTGGCGGGCGGCAACGTTTCTCGGCGGCATTTTGGTGGCGACGCTTCTCCGGTGGCCGCACTCCTCACGGCATTTCGGTGGCGGCTTCTCCGCTGGAATCGCTCATCGGTGGCATGTTCTCCGGCGGATTCACTCCTCTCCTCTTCATTCCTTGGCACCAGCGGGCGCACATAAATTTCCTGGCAGGTGCCATGGCGCCCGCAGGCATCGCGTTGGGGACCACTGCTATACACAAATGCAAGAAGCCTGGGAAAAAAGCAGGGAGAACTGGAAGTCCTGGCACAGTCAAGGAATTATGATGTGATTGGAACAACAGAGACTTGGTGGGATAACTCACATGACTGGAGTACTGTCATGGATGGATATAAACTGTTCAGGAAGGACAGGTAGGGCAGAAAAGGTGGGGGACTTGCACTGTATGTAAGAGAGCAGTATGACTGCTCAGAGCTCCGCTATGAAACTGCAGAAAAACCTGAGAGTCTCTGGATTAAGTTTAGAAGCGTGAGCAACAAGGGTGATGTTGTGGTGGGAGTCTGCTACAGACCACCAGACCAGGGGGATGAGGTGGACGAGGCTTTCTTCAGACAACTAACAGAAGTTACTAGATGACAGGCCCTGGTTCTCATGGGGGACTAGACTGTTTTCAGTAGTAGCAGATGACAGAACAAGGAGTAATGGTCTCAAGCTGCAGTGGGGGAGGTTTAGGTTGGATATTAGGAAAAACTTTTTCACTAAGAGGGGAGTGAAGCACTGGAATGAGTTACCTAGGGAGGTGGTGGAATCTCCTCCCATAGAGGTTTTTAAGATCAGGCTTGACAAAGCCCTGGCTGGGATGATTTAGTTGGGGATTGGTCCTGCTTTGAGCAGGGGGTTGGACTAGATGACCTCCTGAGGTCCCTTCCAACCCTGATATTCTATGATTCTAGTTCCACCCTCTTTGGAACCCCCTTTCAGGTAGTTGAAAGCAGCTATCAAATCCCCCCTCATTCTTCTCTTCTGCAGACTAAATAATCCCAGTTCCCTCAGCCTCTCCTCATAAGTCATGTGCTCCAGCCCCCTAATCAGTTTTGTTGCCCTCCGCTGGATGCTTTCCAATTTTTCCACATCCTTGTAGTGTGGGGCCCAAAACTGGACACAGTACTCCAGAGGAGGCCTCACCAATGCCGAATAGAGGGGACTGATCACATCCCTCGATCTGCTGGCAATGCCCCTACTTATACAGCCCAAAATGCTGTTAGCCTTCTTGGCAACAAGGGCACACTGTTGACTCATATCCAGCTTCTCGTCCACTGTAATCCCTAGGTCCTTTTCTGCAGAACTGCTGCCCTAGCCACTCGGTCCCTAATCTGTAGCGGTGCATGGGATTCGTCCGTCCTAAGTGCAGGACTCTGCACTTGTCCTTGTTGAACCTCATCAGATTTTTTTTGGCCCAATCCTCTAATTTGCCTAGGGCCCTCTGTATCCTATCCCTATCCTCCAGCGTATCTACCTCTCCTCCCAGTTTAGTGTCATCTGCAGACTTGCTGAGGATACAATCCACGCCAACCTCCAGATCATTAATGAAGATTTTGAACAAAACCAATCCCAGGACCGACCCTTGGGGCACTCTGCTTGATACCAACTGCCAACTAGACATGGAGCCATTGATCACTACCCATTGAGCCCGATGATCTAGCCAGCTTTCTATCCACCTTATAGTCCATTCGTCGAGCCCATACTTTAACTGGCTGGCAATAATACTGTGGGAGACCGTATCAAAAGCTTTGCTAAAGTCAAGAAATAACACATCCACTGCTTTCCCCTCATGCACAGAGCCAGTTATCTCATCATAGAAGGCAATTAGGTTAGTCAGGCATGAGTTTCCCTTGGTGAATCCATGCTGACTGTTCCTGATCACTTTCCTCTCCTCTAAGTGCTTCAGAATTGATTCCTTGAGGACCTGCTCCATGATTTTTCCAGGGACTGAGGTGAGGCTGACTGGCCTGTAGTTCCCCAAATCCTCCTTCTTCTCTTTTTTAAAGATGGGCACTACATTAGCCTTTTTCCAGTCATCCAGGATCTCCCCCGATCGCCATGAGTTTTCAAAGATAATGGCCAATGGCTCTGCAATCACATCCGCCAACTCCTTTAGCACTCTCGGATGCAGCGCATCCGGCTCCATGGACTTGTGGTCGTCCAGCTTTTCTAAATTGACCTGAACCACTTCTTTCTCCACAGAGGGCTGGTCACCTCCTCCCCATGCTGTGCTGCCCAGTGCAGTAGTCTGGGAGCTGACCTTGTTCGTGAAGACAGAGGCAAAAAAAGCATTGAGTACATTAGCTTTTCCCACATTCTCTGTCACTAGGTTGCCTCTCTCATTCAGTAAGGGGCCCACACTTTCCTTGACTTTCTTCTTGTTGCTAACATACCTGAAGAAACCCTTCTTGTTACTCTGAACATCTCTTGCTAGCTGCACCTCCAAGTATGATTTGGCCTTCCTGATTTCACTCAGGAAAAAAGAGCTGTAACCTTGGGAGTTTACTACAAGCCTGGAGTGGCCAGTATTAATTGTAAGAATCTTTGCGGGCCCCCACCTTCCGCACTCGGAGTGCCAGAGAGGGGAATCAGCCTTGACAGGGGTGAACCGTGCCAGGTACATGCCCATTCTCATGACTTCATGAAGGAGCCGCCAACCGATATCCCCAGGGGGCTGTGGGACTAGGATGGAATAGAGGCTGACCCACTAGGATTCCTCACCCTCTACAGGTGGTAGATCATCCTGCCACTTGGTATCAGGGCGGGACACAAGGATGAGGAAGTGAAACACGTGGAGTACAAGCGTGTAAAGTTGGTCCAGTGGCACGGTTCAGAAGCGAACCGGCTGCAGGGCACGCAGCCAGCTTGGGTTATAGAAGGGAGAGGACTGGGGGTGGGGACTCATGGGACAGGGGCCTAATGAAAATATCCGGAGGGCCGGGGGTGAGGGGTGGGAGGGGAGCACCCTCTCGCAGGACCCACTCAAGGAAAACCCAAGAGGTGAGCGACAAGGCATTCCCCACGTCCTCGTGTACGTGCAGTGGGGTCTGAAGGGTGGAGAGCCTCATGCACCAACCAAGCAGTCGGGGATCCACCCAGTCCCCCCATCATAGTCCAGGAGATCTCAGATTCCGGTGGTTTCTGCCAGGACCAGCCTCCGTCGCACAGAGGGGGACTATGCCACCTGCACACGTAGGTTGGGATTGTGTAGCAGGGGCTCCGTGAGAAGGTCCGCCCCCTCGGTGGCCACAACAGACCTGGTTGCCAAGAACAGCTTACAGGTCCAGAGTAGGTCCTGGTAGAAGGTCGGCGGCTTGGAGAAGTCTCGCAGAAGGCCCCTCGAGTGGAGAAAAAAGAGCTGCCAGTTGTATCGGAGCCCTCGAAGGCGGCAGAGGAAGGCGTGCACCAACGTGCTCCTCGCCGGAGTACCTGCACCATAAAGGAGTCTCTGCAGGGCCTGGAGGCAGAAGACATGGACCTGGATGCGGAGGCAGACCAGGGCCTGTCCTCCCTCTTCCAAGGGAAGACTCAGAACCCTGCAGAGACCCAGTGCAGCCCCGGTCAGAAGAACTCCAGAGTTACCCTCTTCAGCCAGGCCAGGATCCCTGGGCCGGGTTCAGGGTGTTGAGCCGGTGCCAGAGCATGGACAGGACTAGTTGGTTCAGCACCAATGCCCTCCCCCGCAGGGAGAGGCACCAGAGGAGTCCTGTCCATCTCCACAGCCACTCACCCACCCTGGCCACCAAATCCTGCAGTTCTCTGGCAGAGAAGGATGCATGGCGGAAAGGTAAACGCCAAGATAGAGCAGTGACCTGCGCTTCACCGAATGGCTTGAAGTGCAGGTGGGAGGGAGCTCATCTGCCACCCTGCCCCGACCATCAGGCCAGAGCTCTTGACCTAGTTGACCCGGGTGGAGGAGACCACCCAGTAGATCGCCTGGCAGACCTCCACCTGCATCAGGTTGCCCGGGTCCTGGACCACAGGAAGCACATCATTGGCATATGCTGACAGGACCAGCCACAACTCTGGCTCTCAAAGCACCAACCCCATCAACCTCCAGAGGAGGAGACAGAGGAAGGGCTTGATTGCCAGACTATACAGCTGGCCTGACTACAGACACCCCTGACGTAACCCTCAGCCGAAGCTGACCGGCTTGGTCAGGGTCCAGTTGAGCTTGACCAAACACTCCGCAGAGGCATACAGCACCTGGAGAAAACCCACGAATTGGGGCCCGAAGACAAATGCCCGCAGAGTGCACAGAAGATACCCATGGTCCATCCTGTTGAACACCTTCTCCTGGTCCAGGGACAGGAGGGTGAATGACAGACCATCCCTATACACGAGCTCCAAGAGGTCCCAGAACAAGTACAAATTATCGAAGACGGTGTGGCCTGGGATGGCGTAGGTCTGGTCAGGATGGACCACATCCACAAGCATGGACCCCTGCCGCAGCGAGATGGCCTTCACTACGACTTTGTAGTCTGTGCTGAAAAACGAGATGGGACACCAGTTCCGAAGGTCGCGGTGGTCCCCTTCTTGGGTAGGAAGGTGAGCACAGCTCACCTGCACGACAGAGGGAGGACCACACTCCCCAAGGACTCGGCCCAGACGGTGACAAGGTCTGGGCCGAGGACATCCCAGAACACATGGTAGAACTCCATGGTCAGCCCGTCCAGACCCGGAGATTTATTGGTGGGCATGAGACAGAGGGCTTCCAAGAACTCGGCCAGAGTGAGAGGTAGCTCCAGCCGGTCCCAGTCGCCACGCTGACCATTGGAAGTTTGTTCCAGAGCACCCTACAAGTGTTGGTGTTGGTCAGATCCTGGGAGAAGAGGTTAGCGTAGAAGGCCCTGGCCCTTCCACGCATCTCCTCGGGTCTGTGAGTGGGGGTACCATCCTCTGCCAAAAGGCAGGTGACCTGCTTTTTAATCTCCCTCTTTTTCTCCAGGACGTAGAAGAAGCGGGAGCTGCGATCCATCTCCTGAAGGAGATGGATGTGTGATCGAACCAACGCGCCGTGGGCCCAACGGTTCTCCAGGGCCCAGGGCTCTTCCCGCTTCTCCCGGCACGCTTCGCAGAGGGAGTGATGGTCAATGAACTCCCTTAGGATGCCTGTGGTGGCCTGGCTGCTCTTGAGCCCAGAGCAAGCCCGGTCCTCAAGGGTGGTATTAAAATCCCCGCCCAGGACCAGGCACTCACGAAGATCCAAGGTGTTGAGGAAGGCAGATGCCTGCCAATAGAAATGCACCTGCTCCGGGCCTGGGTTTGGGGCGTAGACGTTGACCAAGTTCAACGTCAGCCCCTTCATACAGACCCAGAGGTGCAGCAGGCAACCAGGCATGACCTCAGCGAGCTTCAGCACTTTGGGCCGTAGGTCAGAGGAGAAAAGGGTGGCCAACCCAGGAAATGAGTGCTGAGGGGCTAAAGTACACCCCATCCCCCAACTCCAGCCACCAACTAGCCTTGGTGGCTGGAGCGGTGTGGGTCTCCTACAAGAAAATCACAGAGTATCCTCCCTCCCAAAGAAAGGAGAGCACCTGGCACCTGTGGAGACCCATCCCACAGCCCCGGGTGTTTAAGGTGGCAAAGATGGTTGGTTTCATAGTGAGGGCTGGGGAGGATCCTTGCAGGCAGGGGTGTCAGCAGGCCTCGCAACAATCCGTGACTGACCCCAAAAGCCAGCAGGGAGTCACAGAAGTTGCGGGCCCGCTGGTAGGCCATGATGTCTTGCCTCTCGGTCCCCCTCCCCTCCTCCAAAATGGCCTTCATGGTCCAGAGGACGAGGTGGAAGTCCCCACAGCCCTGGAGAGCGAGCTGCACCTTACCCTTGAAACCACGGGTTTCCACCAGGAAGCGGAGCGGCTCATCCCACAGTGCAGCGAGGGACGGGGTCAAGGACCTGCGATCGTCCTCTGGCTGGGCCCCTGTGATGACCCCGCGGCCCACAGAGATGGGCAAACACGGGGCAGACCCCCGGCACGGCTCCTGTAGCGGTGGGGCCATGCAACCCATCCCCATCCCCGGCAAGGGAGAGAGTGGTGGAGGGAAGAGAGCAGCCCCTAAAGGGTCGGGGAAGGGAGACACAAAAACCACCCCCTGAGGGTCGTCCGAAGAAAGGGGAAATGAGACAACACTGGGGTGGCAGCAGTATGGGAGGTAGAGGGGAAGAAGGTGGGCAACGTGTCAGAGGCAGGCGCGGGGCTGGGACCAGCAATGGGATCAGGAGCTGGGGCAGAAGCGGGGTAAGGATCCCCAGCAGCTAAGCTACAGGGGTGCGGCACCTGTCGGTTGGAGTCAGGGGCTGAGGGGATGGGAAAGGGGCCCTCAACGATGCCAGGCCCGGGCACTGCAATGAGCTCAGTACCCACAACCAGGGCATTGGGCATGATGGCATCAGCGTTAGGGCCCCCAACTGGGAGGGGAGGCAACTGCTTCGCCTCAGAGTGGGGGCACCCAAGGGCTCGGACCCCGTCCACTCGGCACCGCCCATCACCACCAGGTGTATAAATTATGGGACTCTTTGAGTTGAGAATCTAACCATAGTTGGAAAATTTCTTATCAAGCAGCAGTCAAGCCCTGCCCCAAGGGCCAGAGCCCCTAGACTGCTGATTGCCCTGCCTTGCCCAGAGGGCTCAGGCCCCGGGGACTCCTGCTTATTGCTAGGCCCTGCCCAAGGGGACAGGGCTACAGACTGGTACTTTGCTAGTTCCCCAGCTAATTAACTTAGACCACTGTGACACAGTGAGAAAGAGGGGCCTCCCGCTGAGCCTGAGGGGGGAGATGAGCACCAATGCATTACACAGCCACAGCAATAAACACAGTCCTATGCATGCTTGCCTCACCCTTTGACTAAAACTACTGCCCTGTATTTCCAAGCTCCCCATGTACAAGGCATGAAATGTGCATCCAGGCAGGCTCTGACTGCATAGCGGTGGCACTTATATGGCACTGTGACTTCGTATCTGAGCACCAAACAATCCTTACCTCACAACCCTGCTCAGATCCATTTTTACAGATAGGGAATCAAGGCAGAGAGACTATGTGACTTTCCCTAGGTCACACATGGTGTCTGTGGTGGAGCAGAGACTTGAATCCAGGTCTCCCAAGGCCCAGCCTAGTACCCTAACCACTGGGCCATCCTTCCTCTGATTGTCTTGCTACAATTCCAGCTCCCTTCTTACCTGCCCTGCCACAGAATTGTCTCCCTCTTCAAAGATGATGTTGCCACTGTCTCCATCAGGGTCCATCAGCACCAGGGTCTGATGGGTGGGAAGGGATGAGGAGGAGGTGCTGAGCCCCGCCATCTCCTCTACTCCCAGCACGATCCTGCTGTTGAAACTGCTGTCCTTTGAAAAGAGAAGACAGAGTGAGACGCTTCCATGGGAGTGTGTTAGGGACAGAATATGCACTCTGGGGACTCAGCACAAGGTGTACTGGCTTAAAGAGGATGTTCAAGAAGGAGGCTGATAAACTGGAGAGGGTTCCAAGAAGAGCTACAAGAATGATTAAAGGATTAGAAAACCTTCCTAATAGAGATAGATGCAAAGATCTCCATCTATTTAGTTTAATAAGGAGAAAGTTAAGGGGTGACTTGATCATAGTCTATAAGTACCTACATGGGGAACAAATATTTAATAATGGGCTCTTACTGAGAAAGGTCAAATGTGATCCAGTGGCTAGAAGTTGAAGCTAGACAAATTCAGATTGGAAATAAGGTGTAACTGTTTAACAGTGAGACTAATTAACCACTGGAACAATTTACCAATGATCATGGTGGATTCTCCATCACTGACCATTTTTAAATCAAGATTAGATGTTTTTCTAAACAATCTGCTTGAGGAATTATGTTGGGAGGTTCTGTGGCCTGTGTGATACAGAAGGTCAGACTAGATGATCACAATAGTCCCTTCTAGCTTGGAATCTATGAAAAAATTATGCACTCCAGGGAGATAGATAAATTGTTCCCTCTCATCCTTGCAGCCAGCAGGAACTCGACATTGCTCATATGCACAAAGATAGCTCTAAAGTTGGTTTTGTCTTGTGTTCTGAAGGCTCCGATAATCATGCCCATTCTGATCTCAGCTGGCAGCGAGTTCCAGATACATGGCCCACCCTCCTGCATTAACTGATCTTGCTCTTGAGACTGACAGTCCCTGCTGTTTCAGCAGCTGTTGTGGGAAGCCATGATCTCACAAGGTGAGGTGAGTTCCCAGGTAACTCAGGCCAGTCCCATGACAGGCTTTGAAGGGGTCGACCAAGATCTTGAATGTAATCGGAAGCCAGTGCAGAGCAGGGAGCAGCATCCCACTGAGCTCTCTGAGGCCTGTGCTGCTGTATTCTGGAACAACTGCAGCTTTTTAAAAGTTGTCCCCTCCATACATAGGGATAGAGAATTCCAGTAATCAAACTGGGGACTGGGAGCCTCACCGTCGCTATGTCTGAACCTGATGGGAGAGGGGAATGATTATCTTGCCACCCATAGCTGGAAGAGAGTTTTAATTATCTGTGTCTGTTTGGGTATCCAGGTGGCCACTGACTGTCTAGACAAGCAGAAGGCAGTTGGCCTCAAGGGAGGGTGGTGATAGAAACATGGCAAGTTCTCTGAAATCCTTCCTCTCCCCACCAGCAGCATCTTGGTCTTTCAGGATTCAGTTTGAGACACTTCAGCTAGGTTTGGCTTTGTGTCTGATGGGAAGGTCATGTAGAAGCTGGGTGTTGCCTAGGTGTGGCTGGCACCTTAGTCCATGCCGTTGTAAGATGTACAGAAGTTAAAATATGCCTTGAAAATATGCTGTTGACAACTTTTTGTCTGCCCTTTTAACCATCAGGTGGCAATCACTCTGTTTCCTTTTGGATCTAAAGGCAATGACAGTCAATAGGCCTATCCCAATAGGTGAGACATCTTGTCTGGGGACATGGGCAGCGGATATAGTAGACCAGGAGAGGCTAAGCCTCCCCAAACAGCCAGGCCATGGCCCCACCCACACTGCTCCTCTTCCTGCCCTCACTCAACCTCTCCCTCAAAGCCAGCAGGGGCTAGGGACTTGGGGTGGCTGGGGCGGCGGGCTGGGGCTCAAGCTGGCCGGGGCGGAGACGGGTGGGCTTGGGCTGGCTGGGGAGGGCTGGCCACTGGCCTGGGACTCAGAGCGGCTAGGGTGGGCCAGCCAGGGCAGCTGGGATGGGTTGGCCAGTGTCCTGGGACTTGGGGTGGCTGGGGCAGGCAGGCCAGTGCTTGGACCGACTGGTGGACTGGTGCTTGGGGTGGAAGGGGCAGGGCGGCTGGTGGCCTGGGGCAGCCAGTGGGCTGGGACTCAGGCCAGCCAGTGGACCAGGACTTGGGGCTCCGGTGGAGGAGAGGGGCAGGTAGGGGCAGGGCCTCGGGTGGAAGTGATGGGTCTGGGGGCTAGCCTCCCCAAATGGGGGAGGGGAGAGGGGTTCATATACCACCCATGTCTGGCCCTGGGGAGCATTAATTAAGCTATAGCAATTCCCAAAAAGGGAAAGCACTGCTGCTTGATAAGAAATTTTTCAACTATGGTTAGGTTCTCAAATCAAAGACTCCCATAATTTATTTATGGAGGAGATTCTTTTCTCTCAGTCTAGCTAAGGAGAGCCCCTGCCAGGTGACAAACAAGAGTAACTGAGCTCTTTTCCTACGCAGAGTGCCCTAAGGCTATTGTCTCCTATATGTTAATTAAGAATCACAGGAGAGAAAAACAAAATGTAGGTTTTAAACCAGTTAGAAATAGCTTGGCTGGTGACCCAAAAACCTGAAAATTCCATAGGTCAAACTTCCTGATTTATATATATATACATAGATATTGACCCCAACTTATAAATTTGCACATTTGTTTGCCTATGAACCAGGTATACATCTCTCTATGTGTAAGGGGACTGTTGGCCCCTTACTAAAACTCTGTGGAGTTTTTGGTTGCTAGCTCCTGGTACCAAAAGAAAGGGGCAGGGTCGACTGGAAATCAGGACCCTAGGGACTGACAGTCCCAGGGGCAATGGAGAGAGGCCAATGCTCCAGGTCAGCCTGATTGACAGGGCAGGCAGGCTAACGAGGGAGTCAGGAGGCCAGGGGGTCCCATCCTCTGTGTGAGCTGGAACTGGGGCCAGAGTGGGGCCGAGATAAGGGAGCAGGGGCCTGAGCTGAGCTGGGGAGCAGAGCCATGCCAGCCAGAGAGAACCAGAGAAGCAGCCCAGGGAGCAGGTCAGTGCTGGGACCAGAGCTGCAGCAACCAGAGCCAGAGGGGCCAGAGAAGCAGCCCAGGGGGCTGGAGGCAGAGCAGCATCAGTGCTGGGGCTGGAGCCAGGTGTGGTGAGCAGCTGGGAAAAGCGAGGGGGACCCTGGGCAGTGGGCCCAGCGCAGGGAGACACCCCAACCAAGAGGTCCTGCAGGCCAGACTTGGAGGGGGATCATAACCCCAAAGTGGAGGCTGACACTGGGAAGAAGGATCCTGCCACCTTGAGCCTGAGGGTGTGTGGCCACCACCAGAGCAAGTGTCCAACTCAGAGCATCCCTGCAGCACAGCCAGGGCCTGGGAGGGAGGCCTGGGACTTGTGAGAAACAGACTGTGAATTGCCCAGACATTCCAGAGACGCTGGTTGTGACGTCCCCGTGCCAAAGAGCGGGGTTACATGTTTTTCTTTAACTTTTCCCATTGTTTCCTTATTTTTTAAATTGGTTGCTGTTTCATAAATTGTATTTGCTTGAATTTTATGCAATGATCAGTGGGTCAGGGAAGCATCCAGAGCGGAAAGACCACCCTGGAATGGGGACACCCTAACCCCTGTCCTAAGTGACCACGACAATGTTGGGGGTCAAGCCCCAAAGGGAATCCTGGGCCCAGCCTTGTCAGGGTTACAAGGGCTCTGGCACACAGAAGAGTGGAAGGGGAGCCCTCAAGGTCAGGAAGGCCTCTGGGTAAAGGAAGTGGGAGCGAGGACTTGGATCCTTTTGCTAGCCCATTCCACCAGGGTAGTGTATAAGCCAGAAAAGTTCCCCACAATAGTGGGATCTGTCCCCCACTTACATATGTAAATAATCTCTCTTGTTCCTAATGTATATGACAAGCTTTGAAAGGCATGAAATGAAGAGTATTAGATATAACCAGAGAATGTACAGATCATGTCCATGAGATTTAGAAGACTCTAAGATATTTTGTTTTCCTGGTAAATGATTGCACCCTAGCAGTCATAAGAATTATTGAAAGACATATTCACTTAACCAGGGTAAAACTTTGGAATATTAAAATAAATTGCTTAAAAGGGGGGGATATCAAATCAATACTTGGGGCAAATTATGAAATACAATCCATGAAATGAGCAAACCTTGGACTAAATGAAGCATCAAAGACATTTCTTATACACTCTCGCTCTCTACTGGATATCAACAGAAGCAGCAGAGAAAGAAACTCAAAGCTGAAAGCTGAGAGAAATATGGCAAATGGCCAATGGAAATCAGAGGGCTGCCCATTCCACCAAGCCCTGAAATCAGGATATAGAAAACTGAGGTCACCATGTGGGACCCCAAAGTTGGCTGAACCCACAAAGAAGCTGCAGGATCCCCAATGCGACGGACACCTGGACCAGCTGCGTGGAAAGGACTCTCCCCCATACTAGGGTTAGGAGAATAAGAAGTGGTGAGATTTCATTTCAACGACTGTATTTCCCCTTCTGTTCTGTAACATAAATAATTGTAGGTTATCTTGTTTAAGTCTACACTCTCTAGCGAGACACCATAAGTTTTATTTTAACTATCTGCATTCCCTCATTTATAGGTCCAAACAAATTGGCCTAAGAGAGATTTGAACCATAACTTCAAGCAATTGCTTTCGATAGTCTAAATTTGTTTCTTTTGGACCAATGTGCTCCCATAGCATGGACTGTACTCTTAAAAGTGTCTTAACGACAAGCATATCATTACCCTTTGGAGAAATACTAGCAGGGTGATAAATGTGTTAGGTACAAAAAAATGTTCATAAGTACCTGTAAGAAGAAATCTTGGTGATTTGCATGTTCCTTGGTGCACCTGCTGAGCCTCAACCCTAGGGTTTGACACCTGCTGGCGAGACTGTATTGGTGTCCGTGCAGTAGGTACCTACAGCACCGCTGTGTCTACACTTGGTTGGTAAACAGCTGATTGTATATTGGGGTTCTGGGTGAAATAATAACTTGTTGATTAGTTAAAAGTAACCAAGTGTCCTGATTTGAGAAATACTGTTTAAGTTAAAAGCTGGCCTGAAAAGAACCTAGCATTAAATTAGAAAGCTAACACTCCTTAGCGTCAGTGAAAAGAGGCTATCCTATTAGATTTCATTTAACAATAGGTATAACACTTATGCAGTAGGCAAATCTAGGTTGTTAAATTTCAGCTTTAAAATCTAAGTGGCACCTCGGCAAATTTCCAAAATTGACCCCCTTTCACATAGACACTGTTTCACAATCTCCCCCAGTGGTTCCATACAGATATGGACCAGGTTGGGGAAAAGGTTGGATTCCTTCTGGAACACCACAGTCCAGGGCTCTAGAGTTGGAGGAGCAGGTGTCCAGCAAAACTCTCCGGGTGCAGCTTGAGAATGATTGAAGCCACCGCAGCATGAATCCACAACTCCCTGCCATGTGTTTGAGGATGGACAGAAGGACTCCATTGTCAGCTGTATCAAACACTTGAGAGAGGCCCAGCAAAGGCAATATGGGTGTACTGTCCCATCCATGGTCAAGAGACGTTACTAAGGCTGAAGTCTGAATGGTTCAGGATATTGGCAGTGTCTAGATGCAGGTGGAGATGACCTGTGGTGTGTTTTTCAGTTAGCTTGCTCAGGAATGGGAGGGGAGTTCACAGAGTTGGAAGAGACCTCAGGAGGTCATCTAGTTCAACCCCTGCTCAAAGCAGAACCAATCCCCAATTTTTGCCCCAGATCCCTAAATGGCCCCCTCAAGGATTGAACTCACAACCCTGGGTTTAGCAGGCCAAAGCTCAAACCACTGAGCTATTCCTCTCCCAGAGTACCAGGCTATCGTTGGAGAAGTTGGTTTTGCTGTGTGCTGGTTTCTCAAGTGTTGCTGACTTATGGGCCACTTTGGGGTGCATGGTAGATTTCCCTCCTCAAGGGACGTGTTGACAGTCTCCTTTGTAGGGATCACGATACTCTTGGATCTTTCATTAGCCAAGCAGGGCCTAGGTCAGAGTTGGCGGCTCAGTTTCCGGCAGTGCTTCTAGGACTTCTGGGAATTGGTCCTGCTTCGAGCAGGGGGTTGGACTAGATGACCTTCTGGGGTCCCTTCCAACCCTTATATTCTATGATTCTATGACTTCCTGACTCTGATATCTTGTACTAGTCCCAGGGGACAACTGTCTATGTTACAACCACTGCCACCTCATTTGGCAGAATTGCCTATTGTTCAGGTGTGACCCAGGACTGGAATAGCAAGGGTACTGCAGGTGAGGATCGAGGTGCCCTGGCAGAACTTTGGGGAGTAGTCTTGCATACCTATTATCTGCATTATACCTGGCTTTAGCTAGAGCCTTTAGTCCTCTCAATTTCTTGGGTACTAAAGCTCCGCAAACTCATCCACATTAACAGGCACACCACTTTTTAGGCCACACTGTAACCAGTCTCCCATATACAAAGGCTCCCCGGGGTGCCTCTGGGGCATTCAGTATCTGTGTTCCTGCACTCTTCACCAAGTGTCCCGCACACTTGAGCTGCAGAAGCTACCCCCCTGCTGGCGTAAGTGAAGCCAGTCTCAAATCCTCAGCTGCTTCGCACAGCCTTGGCAATGCATCGCCCTAACAGGAAGTAAAGCACTGTCAGCTCCTTCCAGCACTGTCAGCTCCTTCTCTGTGGGACTGAGTCCGCTCATGGTGTAATTCATTGCCACACCACCAGAGAAAGAACGGTCTGACATCACAATGCCCTGTCTGCCAAGGGAACTCGGGGACTTAAGCTCCCTGCAGCTGTGCAGAGAGGTTATAAACCAGGTGTATGAGCCACATACTCATAGATATTACGGTCAGAAGGGACCATTATGATCATCTAGTCTGACCTCCTGCACAATGCAGGCCACAGAATCTCACCCACGCACCCCTGCAATAAACCTCTCACCTATGTCTGAGCTACTGAAGTCCTCAAATCATGGTTTAAAGACTTCAAGGTGCAGAGAATTCTCCAACAAGTGACCCATGCCCCACGCTGCAGAGGAAGGCGAAAAACCCCAGGGTCTCTTCCAATCTGCCCTGGAGGAAAATTCCTTTCAGTCCCCAAATATGGCGATCAGCTGAACCCTGAGCATGTGGGCAAGATTCACCAGCCAGATACCCAGGAAAGAATTCTCAGTAGTAACTCAGATCCCACCGCATCTAACATCCTATCACAGGCCATTGGCCCTATTTACCATGAATAGTTAAAGATCAATTAATTGCCAAAATCATGTTATCCCATCATACCATCTCCTCCATAAACTTATCAAGTTTAATCTTGAAGCCAGATATGTCTTTTGCCCCCACTGCTTCCCTTGGAAGGCTGTTCCAGAACTTCACTCCTCTGATGGTTAGAAACCTTCGTCTAATTTCAAGTCTAAAGTTCCTGATGGCCAGTTTATACCCATTTGTTCTTGTGTCCACATTGGTACTGAGCTTAAATAATTCCTCTCCCTCTCTGGTATTTATCCCTCTGATATATTTATAGAGAGCAATCATATCTCCCCTCAGCCATCTTTTGGTTAGGCTAAACAAGGCAGTACCTGCATTACAGATTACACTGGCTCCCCAATGAGCTTCAGATCCAGTTCCAGGCCCTCGTCCTCATCTACCAAGCCCTTGAAAGGGTCGGACCCAGCTAAACAAGGGACCACCTCTCCCCTCACACTACTTCAAGGACATTGCAATCATCACAAACCATATAGGCTGGGGCTCGCTGCCATCCCTGTGAAGAGGATTTCCCTGCCGCAGGGAATCAGGCTCAGTTCACATCCCTCCTGCAACAGACCTGTGTGTGCACGTTGCCTTTCCTCAGTAAAGGCAGCAGCATTCGGGCTGCGGAGCAGAGCCAGCTGTCCTGCCAGGACAACGCTGAAGCAGAACTGCTTGTATTTGGTGCCTAGATCCCAGGGTCACCAGAGCCACAAAGTTTGAGGAGACACACACGTACTAGACACAGGCAGTGGGAGACACTGTTTGCCTCTGCACCCGGATGGTAGAAAGTTCTGTGCTCAGCAGCGTGGCTGGGGGAGGAGAAATGGCACGGAACACGCATAAGGAGATCAGCATGAAAGCCATCTACCGTCCCCCACCCCAGCCTTGTTTTCACCAGAAGGTGTAGCAGGACTGTGTTCCCAGGCTTGATCAAGTCTCAATGCCTTGTGCATGGTCTGTTATTGCCCCATGCCTGGCCTGTGACCATTCTCTCTGAGAGAGTCCCCACCGCGTAACAAAATGTACCTTGGCAGGGTTGCCCGAGAGGCTTTCTGTCCCCTTGTCGGTGGTGAAGACAGGAGATCCTGATGCCAGGACGGTCTGGGCCAGCACCGAGCCTATGGCCATCACATCAATGCTGGCTCCGGTGGACACATGGAGGCTACCATAGGCCTTGGGGTGGGCTTCGGTGCTGTGCTGGTAATACTGGCGGCTATTGACATCCTGCATGGAGGCAGAGGCCGTGACAAACATTCATCGAGGTGAAAGCTGCCTATGCCTCCTGCAGCCACCTGTCAGGGGGAGACGGGGGGAGCTGGGGTGGCTGTCACAGCTGCACTAGCTCAACAGTAGGAGAGTTAAAAATCACACAAGACCCTTATTAGTTCATTTAGTCCAGTGGCTGTGAAGCTGTGATGACCAGCCAGGCGTCTTCAAGAGGCTTGAACCTGAGACCTGCAGTTAAACCATCTTTGATAGCTTTCACTGTTACCAGCCCTTAGCAGCAGCAGATAATGTTACAGTGTAGACAGGGCTTGTTTTCCAGGGAGGTTTGCACACCTATAGCTACTGAGGGGTTTGGATTCTCACTGAGGCTGCTGCCTGCACAGCAATCCCTGCATTCTACCCACACAGATCGCTCTGAGAATATGCTTCTGGCGGGGGTTTCACGTCAGCGCTGTGCAGCGGGGAGCAAGGGCCACCAGCCCCTTTCCTTGAAGAGGAAACAGAGACACAGCAAGGGGAAGGGACTTACACAGGCCAGCCGGGGAGTCAGTGGCAGAGCTGAGAAAGAGCCCAGTCTAGTGCCCTATCCACTGAACGATCCCCCTGCAGACCCCCACGCCACTGTTCCACCCTCAGAGCTCTCCCTGGATCCCTCATGCCACCTCACACACCAGTGCTCACCTGCGTGACCTGGATCTGGAAGGTGGTGTGGGGGTTCCGGAAGTGGGTCTTGAAGTGCTTCACCGCCTCGTCCCGCCGGTTGAAGCCGTTGCGGCAGCGGTAACAGTGCCAGTGTGCCCCTTTGAACTTCTTCTCCCCTTTGATCGTGCCCACAATCTCGCAGTGACTGCAGCACCGCAGGATCTTCAGTCCTGGCAACGGCAAAGCCCCAGTGAGGATCGAAGGGTTTTCAACAGGCACTGCTACAAGCACGTCCCACCAGGCAGGTGCTCAGGGCCTGGAGATGGTGGAAAGGCTCCTCTTGCCTTCAGGCCTACATGCTGCATGTCAGGGAGGTTATCACTGAGCAGGGCTGAAGTTGTCACTTCCCGGAGTGGGGAGGGAGAGGGAGACATCCCGCACTGGGGAAAGCATCTGCACATTTTCCATCGCAGCTAACACCAGCTCAGCACGGGAAGCCCAGCTATCAATGGGCTGGCGGCAGCTCGGGGAGCCCTGCTATAAAAGGGCTGGTGGCAGCACGGGGAGCCCAGCTATCAATGGGCTGGTGGCAGCACGGGGAGCCCAGCTATCAATGGGCTGGCGGCAGCACGGGGAGCCCAGCTATCAATGGGCTGGTGGCAGCATGGGGAGCCCAGCTATCAATGGGCTGGCGGCAGCACGGGGAGCCCAGCTATCAATGGGCTGGCGGCAGCACCGGGGAGCCCTGCTATCAATGGGCTGGCGGCAGCACGGGGAGCCCAGCTATCAATGGGCTGGCGGCAGCACCGGGGAGCCCGGCTATCAATGGGCTGGCGGCAGCACGGGGAGCCCAGCTATCAATGGGCTGGTGGAAGCACGGGGAGCCCTGCTATCAATGGGCTGGTGGCAGCAAGGGGAGCCCGGCTATCAATGGGCTGGCGGCAGCACGGGGAGCCCTGCTATCAATGGGCTGGCGGCAGCACAGGGAGCCCTGCTATAAAAGGGCTGGTGGCAGCATGGGGAGCCCTGCTATCAATGGGCTGGCGGCAGCACGGGGAGCCCTGCTATCAATGGGCTGGCGGCAGCACGGGGAGCCCAGCTATCAATGGGCTGGTGGCAGCAAGGGGAGCCCGGCTATCAATGGGCTGGCGGCAGCACGGGAAGCCCAGCTATCAATGGGCTGGTGGCAGCAAGGGGAGCCCGGCTATCAATGGGCTGGCGGCAGCACGGGGAGCCCTGCTATCAATGGGCTGGCGGCAGCACAGGGAGCCCTGCTATCAATGGGCTGGCGGCAGCACAGGGAGCCCTGCTATAAAAGGGCTGGTGGCAGCATGGGGAGCCCTGCTATCAATGGGCTGGCGGCAGCACGGGGAGCCCTGCTATCAATGGGCTGGTGGAAGCACGGGGAGCCCTGCTATCAATGGGCTGGTGGCAGCACGGGGAGCCCTGCTATCAATGGGCTGGTGGCAGCACGGGGAGCCCAGCTATCAATGGGCTGGCGGCAGCACGGGGAGCCCTGCTATCAATGGGCTGGTGGCAGCAAGGGGAGCCCAGCTATCAATGGGCTGGCGGCAGCACGGGGAGCCCAGCTATCAATGGGCTGGCGGCAGCACAGGGAGCCCAGCTATCAATGGGCTGGTGGAAGCACGGGGAGCCCTGCTATCAATGGGCTGGTGGAAGCACGGGGAGCCCTGCTATCAATGGGCTGGCGGCAGCACGGGGAGCCCTGCTATCAATGGGCTGGTGGCAGCACAGGGAGCCCAGCTATCAATGGGCTGGTGGAAGCACGGGGAGCCCTGCTATCAATGGGCTGGTGGAAGCACGGGGAGCCCTGCTATCAATGGGCTGGTGGAAGCACGGGGAGCCCAGCTATCAATGGGAGGGCGGCGGCACGAGGAGCCCAGCTATCAATGGGCTGGTGGCAGCACGGGGAGCCCAGCTATCAATGGGCTGGCGGCAGCACGGGGAGCCCAGCTATCAATGGGCTGGTGGAAGCACGGGGAGCCCTGCCATCAATGGGCTGGCGGCAGCACGGGGAGCCCAGCTATCAATGGGCTGGTGGCAGCATGGGGAGCCCAGCTATCAATGGGCTGGCGGCAGCACGGGGAGCCCGGCTATCAATGGGCTGGTGGCAGCATGGGGAGCCCAGCTATCAATGGGCTGGCGGCAGCATGGGGAGCCCAGCTATCAATGGGCTGGCGGCAGCACGGGGAGCCCGGCTATCAATGGGCTGGTGTTTTTTTTGTTTTTTTGGGCGCAGCATGGGGAGCCCAGCTATCAATGGGCTGGCGGCAGCATGGGGAGCCCAGCTATCAATGGGCTGGTGGCAGCATGGGGAGCCCAGCTATCAATGGGCTGGTGGCAGCACGGGGAGCCCAGCTATCAATGGGCGGGCGGCAGCACGGGGAGCCCAGCTATCAATGGGCTGGTGGCAGCATGGGGAGCCCAGCTATCAATGGGCTGGTGGCAGCACGGGGAGCCCAGCTATCAATGGGCTGGTGGCAGCATGGGGAGCCCAGCTATCAATGAGCTGGTGGAAGCACGGGGAGCCCAGCTATCAATGGGCTGGCGGCAGCATGGGGAGCCCAGCTATCAATGGGCTGGCGGCAGCATGGGGAGCCCAGCTATCAATGGGCGGGCGGCAGCACGGGGAGCCCAGCTATCAATGGGCTGGTGGCAGCATGGGGAGCCCAGCTATCAATGGGCTGGCGGCAGCATGGGGAGCCCTGCCATCAATGGGCTGGTGGAAGCACGGGGAGCCCAGCTATCAATGGGCTGGCGGCAGCACGGGGAGCCCTGCTATCAATGGGCTGGTGGCAGCACGGGGAGCCCTGCTATCAATGGGCTGGCGGCAGCACGGGGAGCCCGGCTATCAATGGGCTGGCGGCAGCACGGGGAGCCCTGCTATCAATGGGCTGGCGGCAGCACGGGGAGCCCTGCTATCAATGGGCTGGCGGCAGCACGGGGAGCCCTGCTATCAATGGGCTGGTGGCAGCACGGGGAGCCCTGCTATCAATGGGCTGGCGGCAGCACGGGGAGCCCAGCTATCAATGGGCTGGCGGCAGCACGGGGAGCCCTGCTATCAATGGGCTGGTGGCAGCACGGGGAGCCCTGCTATCAATGGGCTGGCGGCAGCACGGGGAGCCCGGCTATCAATGGGCTGGTGGCAGCAAGGGGAGCCCGGCTATCAATGGGCTGGCGGCAGCACGGGGAGCCCTGCTATCCATGGGCTGGTGGAAGCACGGGGAGCCCGGCTATCAATGGGCTGGCGGCAGCACGGGGAGCCCAGCTATCAATGGGCGGGCGGCAGCACGGGGAGCCCAGCTATCAATGGGCTGGTGGAAGCACAGGGAGCCCTGCTATCAATGGGCTGGCAGCAGCATGGGGAGCCCAGCTATCAATGGGCTGGTGGAAGCATGGGGAGCCCAGCTATCAATGGGCGGGCGGCAGCACGGGGAGCCCAGCTATCAATGGGCTGGTGGAAGCACAGGGAGCCCTGCTATCAATGGGCGGGCGGCAGCATGGGGAGCCCAGCTATCAATGGGCTGGTGGCAGCTCGGGGAGCCCAGCTATCAATGGGCTGGTGGCAGCTCGGGGAGCCCACCTATCAATGGGCTGGTGGAAGCACGGGGAGCCCACCTATCAATGGGCGGGCGGCAGCACGGGGAGCCCAGCTATCAATGGGCTGGCGGCAGCACGGGGAGCCCTGCTATCAATGGGCTGGTGGCAGCACAGGGAGCCCACCTATCAATGGGCTGGTGGAAGCACGGGGAGCCCACCTATCAATGGGCTGGCGGCAGCACGGGGCGCCCAGCTATCAATGGGCTGGCGGCAGCACGGGGAGCCCTGCTATCAATGGGCTGGTGGAAGCACGGGGAGCCCACCTATCAATGGGTTGGTGGCAGCACGGGGAGCCCTGCTATCAATGGGCTGGCGGCAGCACGGGGAGCCCTGCTATCAATGGGCTGGTGGAAGCACGGGGAGCCCGGCTATCAATGGGCTGGTGGCAGCACGGGGAGCCCAGCTATCAATGGGCTGGCGGCAGCACGGGGAGCCCGGCTATCAATGGGCTGGCGGCAGCACGGGGAGCCCAGCTATCAATGGGCGGGCGGCAGCACGGGGAGCCCAGCTATCAATGGGCTGGTGGAAGCACAGGGAGCCCTGCTATCAATGGGCTGGCAGCAGCATGGGGAGCCCAGCTATCAATGGGCTGGTGGAAGCATGGGGAGCCCAGCTATCAATGGGCGGGCGGCAGCACGGGGAGCCCAGCTATCAATGGGCTGGTGGAAGCACAGGGAGCCCTGCTATCAATGGGCGGGCGGCAGCACGGGGAGCCCAGCTATCAATGGGCTGGTGGCAGCTCGGGGAGCCCAGCTATCAATGGGCTGGTGGCAGCTCGGGGAGCCCACCTATCAATGGGCTGGTGGAAGCACGGGGAGCCCACCTATCAATGGGCGGGCGGCAGCACGGGGAGCCCACCTATCAGTGGGCTGGCGGCAGCACGGGGAGCCCTGCTATCAATGGGCTGGTGGCAGCACAGGGAGCCCACCTATCAATGGGCTGGTGGAAGCACGGGGAGCCCACCTATCAATGGGCTGGCGGCAGCACGGGGCGCCCAGCTATCAATGGGCTGGCGGCAGCACGGGGAGCCCTGCTATCAATGGTCTGTTGGCAGCTCGGGGAGCCCACCTATCAATGGGTTGGTGGCAGCACGGGGAGCCCTGCTATCAATGGGCTGGCGGCAGCACGGGGAGCCCTGCTATCAATGGGCTGGTGGAAGCACGGGGAGCCCGGCTATCAATGGGCTGGTGGCAGCACGGGGAGCCCAGCTATCAATGGGCTGGCGGCAGCACGGGGAGCCCGGCTATCAATGGGCTGGTGGCAGCTCGGGGAGCCCAGCTATCAATGGGCTGGTGGCAGCATGGGGAGCCCAGCTATCAATGGGAGGGCGGCGGCACGAGGAGCCCGGCTATCAATGGGCTGGTGGCAGCATGGGGAGCCCAGCTATCAATGGGCTGGTGGCAGCATGGGGAGCCCAGCTATCAATGGTCTGGTGGCAGCATGGGGAGCCCAGCTATCTATGGGCTGGCGGCAGCATGGGGAGCCCAGCTATCAATGGGCTGGTGGCAGCATGGGGAGCCCAGCTATCTATGGGCTGGCGGCAGCACGGGGTGGTGGTAGCCACCCATGTATTTTAACACTGTCACATAATCCTTCTTGCAGCAGGTCT